GGGGGGGGGAAGGGGGATGGGACTAATGGTAATAAACATCTGTCTGGGGACGGGGAGACACCTGTTATCAACAACAGTGCCTGAATGAAGCATATTTGTATACCTAACCCTTAATCGTACCCCACAATATCATAATAAAAAATATTGATTAAAAAAAAAAGAAAACATATACTGTAATATGTTAACAGTTAATAGGTTTTTAGTCATCATTTTTTCCACCACTTGAGAACCTAACTCCCCAAATGAAATTTCACAAAGACAAATCTAACCATTTTTGAGAAAATTTTAGAGATACTTAAACATAATTACCTGTTTTTCTTTGTTAACTCCAGACATGAATAGTTGTTTGTACTTGTCCTTAAAAGCAAAGTTTAGGGCTTGTGTTGGAAAATACCGGATAACATTAGCCAAATTGCCACGCCAATAACTGAAGAAACCTGCAGAAAAAAAAATACAAACATATAAACCTGTATTGCAATATTATACCCAGTATAAAAATTGAAAACAAATTTAAGAAAAAAAACTTGCTCTAAACTTGATCTTGAAAAAAACAAATAAGCATTACAATAGTACTGATAGGAAAAAGTTACTAGGTCATTTTCTGGCCAAGTTACTTGCCAAGAATAGGAATGCCAGGCATGTCTGGAAAGATAGATCAGCTGACTCTCACATGGTTTTATGGTATACCTATCAGCTCAAAAAAAGAAAAATGTGAGCACAACTTCCAAATAGTACACTTTAAAAAACAGATTATATACCTTTGCAACTATACTATCCTGTTGTGAGCATTTGTAAAAACATGCTAAAAATAAAATTAAAAGATGTCTGATTAGCTTGTCACTGTTTCTACACTGAATATAATGTGATTGATGAAGTAAGATTCCATTTCTTGGAGTAAATGGCATCAATTGCAGTGTTTTCTTGTGGGTCATTTGATATTAGTATTATAGTTGACTTGATCTGTATGGCAGAACTTTTAAAATAAATTTTGTCCATGTTTTGAAGATTTAGTTAAAAGCTGGCAACACAACCTAGAAATCCACTGAACTGGGCAACTGTAGACTATGATGCTCACTTATAGTAACTGACGAAGGGTGCCAGCCATTTCTCTTCCCTGTACAACTCCCACTTTTGGTTTTCAGGATGCTTCAGTGTCTTCTGATATGTAACTGACATGTGGTCCAAGCATACATAGCTGCCAGTGCCAATTCATATAACAGATATCAGTAAAATTTATCTTCCTATTTTAAAGTACATATAAATAAAATACCTATATTTTCTTTCCATACTCCAAATATCATCTTCAAGTTGAACCCTAGGATATTAAAAAAAAGTTACTATTCTAAACTTCAGGAAAATAGATTTAGACAAGATCGGTGAAAGGCAGCAGCTAAACCCACGGTCAGGAATGCCTACAAGAGAAAAGCGTTCTGGTAGACTCTTGAAATTGAGACTGTAAGGATCAGATCTTTAAAAGGCTATGTATATGTTAATAAGACAGTCATTTTCATTTAAAATGCAGTTACATATGAATATTTTGCTCAGTGTATAAGCATTAGATATACAACAAAATATTAAAAAAACGTTTTTTAAAAATTTTTTATTTGGAGTCTCACTGTGTCGCCTAGACTGTAGTGCAGTGGCAGGCTCCTGGCCACCGCAGCCTCGACCCGCTGGGCTCCCGTGATCCTTCCGCCTCAGCCTTCCAAGTAGCCAGAAGTACAGGCGCGCGCTACCACGCCCGGCTAGTTTTTGATTTATTGTAGAATGCGGTCTCGCAAAGTTGGCCAGACTCTTCTCGAACCCGTGGGCTCAGGCAATCCACTCACCTCGGCCTCCCGAAGCGCTGGGATTACAGGCTGAGCCACCCAGCCCGGTCAACACAATGATTTTAGCAGTGATTTCACTTTTTGCTTCTTTATATTTTGTAATTTACTATCATAATCATGTATTATTTGTATAATAAAAGTTTAAGCAGAGTTACATATTAGTACACACACAAACTTGGGAGGTAATAAAACCAACTAAAGAAATGAATAATTGCCGGGTTCGGTGGCTCAGCCTGTAATCCTGCGCCTTTGGGAGGCTGAGGTGAGTGGATTGCCCGAGCTCGCGGGTTCGAGACCCACCTGGGCAGCGAGACCTCATCTCTACAATAAATCAAAAATGAGCCGGGTGAGGTAGTGTGCGCCTGTAATTCCAGCTACTCTGAAGGCTGAGGCAGAAGGATCGCCGGAGCCCAGCAGGTTGAGGCTGCGGTGGCTGGGAGCGGCCACTGTACTCCAGTCTGGGCGACGGAGTGAGACTACAACTCAAAAAAAAAAAGAAAAGAAATGAATAATTTTTTCAGAAAAATATTAGAATAAATTCAGAAGCCTTTATAAGCCAAGAAAAGCTTATAAAATAGCATCAAAGATACTCAAAAGAGATGCTTAAAGCTATATGCTGAATAAGAATAAATCATTACATTTATTCTTCTAATGGAAGGAAAGTAGAGATAAGAAGACAGTGAGAAAATCTAGGGCCTTCTGAGTATGTGTCTCTTCGGCTCATTTCGTGCTGCTTAAGGAAAGGAAAAGTTCCCAAGACAATCAGAGAAAACATAAAAAACAGCAGAAACTTCAGAACACTTGAGATGGATACGTGTCTTCACTTTCCAAAGAGAGGCGGTAAATTCTGGAAAATGTAATCTCAGACTGTGATAGCCCTGTAAGACTCCAGAATGATCGGCATGGTGATTCCCAACCCTAGCAGGCTCAAGTTCTCTCCATATGATAAATGTCTTACAATACTCCCTTTACTACTACCCAGGAAGGAAATTCAAAGACAACGACCTCTTCACCAACTAAAAACCACCACCATAATGCCCTCACTGGGGCATTCTGCTTTTGAATAAGTGACTTCGCGAGCCATGACTATGCCATACCCTCAATACCCACAGGCTTGCCTCCGTTTAAAATGAATCTGCTCTCATTAAGCAACACGATGACATCTTGAGAAGGCTCAATATATTCGTGTGCGTGCACATATGTAGGCACGCATGTATGCATACACCAGTCATATGTGCACCAGAGGCAAAGACAGGCGATGCGGGTGGAGCCTGGATCCGGAAGCCAAAAGTCGGCCACGCTCCCTCGTCTCTGCCATCTGTGGCGCTCACGTGACACTCCAAGGGCAGGCACACCGAGCCTTCCAGATCCGGGCTGCGCCTCCGGCAAGCCTAACCCTCAAGTTCCCACACCCGCACGGCCTCCACGCCCCGAAGGCTTTCGGCGCGACCGCGCTGGGGC